ACAAATTGATTTGAGATATGAGGACGACACTTTTTGGGGCCGCCGCGTCTCTTTCGAGTCTCTTCGACTAGAGTTTGTTTCAGATCGTCTATTGCCGATTTAAATTGACAAGAAATGTCCAATTTTAATTGTCGATGCATTTCTTTCAATTGCTCTTTTTCTTCATGCCATCTCTGTTCCGCCATTTTGAATTCGTTCCTCAATTCGGTCATCTGCAGTTTCAGTTGTGCTATTGTTTCGTCGGCGGTTTGTAAGCGTATTCTGGCATTCTTCAGTTCCGTCACCAAATCGGACAAAGCCCCGTTAGACTTGATCTGCTCTCCCAGTTTCAAACACTCCAACTCTCTGCTTCTGGTTACGGGTCTCTCTATTTTCTCTACTTCTCTTCGAAGTCGTCTTCTCTTTGCCTCGGCGTTCCGCAGTCTCCATTCTTTTTCAATAATTCTATCGGCGACGCTAGCCACTTTGAGAACACTACACCATAGCGGGTCTCCCGGTTTCGATTCAACCGCCCTGCTTAGGAAGCGCCCGAACAGGGCTTGCCCGTACTTCCCGACGACATCCGTCTCGTCCAATGTTACGGTTACTATGGAGGTGGGAGCGGAACCTCGCTCAGATTTTGCCATTTTGGACAGAATCCCGTTCAAGTTTACTTGAACGGGATTCTCCGTAAGAAAGTTGTCTTATTTTTCCCTTGCATATCACAGCTTCGTCGGCGGTCACTTCCTGTACCATTTCGTGTTTTTCCGACATCCGTCTTAAAACGGTGAACGGCATCAAGGCAGCTTTTCGAACTGTTCCATCTGATGTTTCGAGTAGAACGCCTTCCGCGTCGTCTTCGTGGATGCACGCCATCGCCATCAACACTGCAAGATCGAACGAATCATTTTTGCCTTCCCTCATAATCATCATCGGTTCGGGAAGATCGCAATGTGGGGAATCTACAAAATCGGCAACCGTATTCGAATTTCTCGTTCGAGAAGGTACGTTTAAGAATGGTTGGTTCCTCTGACACGCTCTCATCCTCTCCGTCCGATTTAGCTCTCCGAACGCTTCCATTATTTCGTTCTCTTGATATACCGCCATCAGACGGTAAGCCTCACTTACGCTGCTGACCACTGCGTACGGGAGCTGAGTGTTCGTGTCTAAATAAAAGAGCAGCATCGGCATGTCGAACCGACGAGTTCGACATCCGGTCAGAGATTCCACAATCGCTCCGAATGCCGAAGCGTAACTAGTGTTCTTTCCACCTCCGCAGAACGAAAGCAACTTGGTCAGATCACCACGTACTTCCACGGTTTGGGTTTCGGTTTCGTTTTCGGTTTCGTTTTCGTTTTGGGTCACTGTTGAGGTCACTGCTTCGGTCACAATTTCTTCATCATCATCTTCATTATCATCATCATCATCTTCCTCCTCCTCCTCCTCCTCCTCTTCTCCTTCTGCTTCTTCTTCTTCTTCTACTTCTCCTTCTTCTACTTCTACTTCTCCTTCTTCTCCTTCTACTTCTTCTCCTACTTCTTCTCCTTCTTTTGCTTCTTCTACTGTCGGAGATACTTCACCATCAACATTTTCTAACGGATAGCCGATCACCGCCATTGCTGCTTGGAGTATATCAGTCTGCTCATTGTCTTTATACGGATTATCGAATAGATCAAAATCGTTCAGGTCTTCCAAGTACAAGTTTTGGTTGTTTTCGGACGACTGCATCTTGCTGAATACATTCGCTTTCGAGATTCTTGCTTTTATACAAGAGGGTTCTCACGTCATCGTCATCGTTGCTCTAACAGGAAAACGTCATCGTGAGCGGTCTATGCTCGATGACGTTTTCGTGGTTTTTTTTTGTTTTTTTTTCGAATTCGAAAGCAACGATCACGATGACGTTTTCGTGTCATTTTTCTTTTCAAATTCGAAAGCAACGATCACGATGACGTTTTCGTGTCATTTTTTTTCTTTTTTTTCGAATTCGAAAGCAACGATTACGATGACGTTTTCCTGTTAGAGCAACGATCACGATGACGTCGTCTTGTCGTTTCGTATATAAATAAAATGCGACGACTATTTACTGCGAATCACTTGAATAAAAAAAAAAAGATAAGATAAAATGGAACAAAATAAAGTGTTGGAATTGACGGCGGCTTTGGATGTTGCAAGATCATACATCATGGACCTTGATCACGATAATCCATGCGTTGGTGTCATCGAAGAGAAAAGTAAACATATTGGGGACTTCACGCATCTGCTGGAAAAAATCAACCCGGATAAGCTGAGTTACTTATTCGAACTGATGTTTTCGAGACACGTGAACTGGGGACGTATCGTAATGGCTTTGGTCGCCACCAAGAAGATATCGGAAATACACGGACACCGGCATCGGTACGCAGACGTCGTCGGGAAGGCGATCGAAGAGAATTGCGGCCAATGGATTCTTGGAAACGGTGGATGGAAAGGATTCGTGGAAAGCATGATCTCCCAACCATGACACAAAAAAAAAAAATGCGAACAGCTGCGGTGTGAAAGAAGAAGACGAGACGAGACGAACGAACGAACAACAACGAAAAACAAAACCGATGTGACAGTTGTATTGATTCGGAAATAAAATTTTGTTTGAAATATAATACTTTCTAGTCAATGATTTATTTATCGTTTACCGATTTCGAACGAAGGCGAACCGAGTTTGCACGAATTCGAAAATTCCTATTCTTCAACACTGGGTTCGGTGTTTGGTGTAAAAGTATCCTACGAAACGAACTCTCTATTTTTCCCCAACCGTCCTACGAAAAAAAACACAAATCACGTGGGCTCGTGACGTTATGGGACCCCGATATTTGGACCAATGGGAAGATTTTTCATACTAGAAAACACGATGACGTGTCAAAATTTCGATGACCTCATGTTCTAATTTGAGCTCGTTAGGATTTTCCTATT